TTTAGGCACATCTTTGATGTGTCACCATTATACCAGTTAATTAACAACAACCCAAAAGTGCTTATTGGGATTTCCCTTCTCACTTCTCCCCATGGCAGAAACATCATCACTCAGATAAATATGAAAAGTGATAATTCATTTATATTTTTCTCTTTTCAGTCTACCTCATCTGTAAGATGCCAATTTTTAGCCAACCCAACTAGCCCTCTCAAACTTTAAGGGCATAGAGAGTTCTTTTTTTGAGTTGGTTCAGAAAAGGTGAGAATTTTAAAATCCCATTGTTTCAGTAACAATGACATTTATCTTATGACTGAATCATGGATGGCAAACTTTTTTTAAGTAAGTAGGAAGGTAATTTCTAGAAAGGGATGGTGCTGGGAGAATATTCAGAGGCCCTGGGTTTTCTTGCCTCAGTCTACTTTTCATGTCTTGTTTTGAAATGGTTATGAAAGAGGAATTTATTAGCACAAGAGAAAGGGATGATGGGCACTCTGCAGGAGAGGGGGGTCAAAGTCTCCAGGCTCTGAGAGCAGAAATCTGCTATGACCAGCACTGGAGACAGCAGTGTGTACCTGTGGGGTCAGCCTCATTGCATTTATTTTTTGTGATTAGTAGCAAACCAAGAATTCACCAAGCCCTCACAACAGATGGTTCCTGGGTAACAGAATGTCTCCTTGTCTTGTTTGTTCATGAGCAAACCATGTCTTTGAAAACACTAAAGATATAATACAGGATCCTGATTGGGTCTTGTCTTTGAGAAGAAGAGCAGTTGCTTTAACCGTTGGTTTTCAAACTGTGGTTGTGATTCATTAATGTCATAACCCAATTTAATCTTTGACCAGCATATTTTTAGTGGAATATGATAGAAAAATCTAAGTGCACCTCATATGTGCATGTGTGTTTGTGTGTATAGCCATGTATATTATATATATATTTATATTACTTCTTTTGGTTTCGTTTATGTATATATACAGAGGTATGCTGCATTGTAATGTAGTTCTTACTGTGGATCAGGCTCCAAAAAAGAAAAATACTGCTTTAGGCATCTTTAAAAGGATCAGAAGTGAATGATTGTGGTGTATAATGAAGAGTGAACAAACACTGCCTATTTTTTTTTTAAAGATTTATTTATTTTTATACAAGAACCGGAGTACAGGCCAGATGTGTGGGAGGGAGAGAGGATTCACCAGAGACAGAGCAGGAACAGGACAGGCAGACTGACGAAATACACTGCTGAGGGGAGCAGCGGGCAAGACAGGAGAGGTCTGCTGTGCCATGTGGGATTGTTGCCAGCCGGCCAGGATTGAACCCACGCTGCAGAGGCTGCGGACAGCTTCACAGTGCGGCACTCAACTGCCTGCACCACCAGGAAGGCCCTGCCTGACTATTTTTTAGGTGGTGCATACAAGTGTGAGCATGTGTGTGTTTGTGTACTGACTCTGCCATGATGTCTAGGCAGTAGTGTATTTTTCTTAAGAATAATAAGGCATAAGTAAGATTCAGAATTTTGTTTAAAGAGACATTATGTAATCTGATAATAATTTCTAAAAATCTGATAGGTAGATTCTGTAGCTCCCCATCAGGACTTCTGTGATGCAGGAGATAGATCAGTTGCTGTTGAGTTAAGATTATAAATGAGACCTTAAATTTTTTTCATATGTTTTTCAAAATATCTTTGCCCAAGTACAAGCTGGTTAATGCTCTAATGGTAGTCTAAATTTGTTTGATTTATACTGTGAAGAAAAAGTTTCAACTGAGTTTTTTTGATGCTTGACACTTCAGGGGGCATATTTTCTAAATATATTTCCCTAATAGATTCCTAGAAAAGTAGCAGTGTTGCCCTAGGTTTCCAAGAAAAATAGAAAATGCTTGCTCCCTAGCTTTTCCATTGAAGATTACCCTTTAAGATACCATATCTGGGGCCTCCCTGGTGGCACAAGGGGTAAATTCTCAGCACTATGAAGCTATCTGCAGCCATTGCAGCACGAGTTTGATCCCTAGCCAGGGAGCTGACCCACATGGCACAGCAGACCTCTCCTGACTCGCCCACTGCTCCCCTCAGCAGTGGATTTCTGTCACTCTGCCTGTTCTGCTCCCCACTCTGTCTCTGATGAATCCTCTTACCCCCCCTCCACTTCCCCCGCTGCACCTCTGGCTTACACCCCAGCTCTTGTATGCATTAATAAATAAATCTATTAAAAAAAACCCATATTTGGTGGTAAGTTAAATAGGAAACAAAACAATCGCACCTCAGGTATTTCATGGGAAGTCGTTCCTTCAGAAGATGAGACACCGTGATGGTGAAAAATAAGAGACATATCATCTAGTAGTAGAATATTTATTGATACATATAAGGTGCAAAAAAAAAAAAAAAAGAGACAGTGATGTAAAATGACAGGCATCTTCTTCATCAGATGTCTGCTTGTGGCTTGTGACCTGGACTGGTTTAGGCTAATATGTTCTACAAGGCTGAGGACTTGGGTTCCTTCACCTACCCAGAGCAAGGATCTTGAATTTCCAAAATACATGATGCTCAGTCAGTTTTTTGTTAATACACACTGTTGGCCATGGAAGGCTTTAATTATCTTGCCTTCCAAGGAAACATCACCTCTAACTCCACCACCACATTGGAAACATTCAAAACCATGCACGGTCTTGATTTATATAGAATATCCAGCAGTTCATAACAGTTATCCTGAAAATGAATCCATGCAAAAGGCATATGACAGGTAGTTGGCTACAAGATTTACTCAAGAAGACAAAGTACAACAGGATGTTCCATGTTTGAGGAACTAGAGCATGTTGAAAACGAGGTCGGGTACTGTTAACCCCTTCCTTCTTATGAGATCTGACTGGCTTTCTTTCTGAATTGAAAGTTGTTCCCCTGAGACAGACCCAGTTCTACTGCTAAGTTTGCCTTGTCATGTCCTCTGACATTTGAGTAGGAGTTTATCTGTGTTCAAGCTTGCTAATTCTTCCCAAACCTGGGTTTCTGGGACTTGCTATTTATTCAGAAGGAACCAAAGAAATGTGTTTTTACTTGACTGAAAAAAAAAAAAAATCCACAGCATCTTTCATCATATATATAATGCCCTGGGAGAGAATACAGCAGCAAACCAGACAGACAGGTTCCCAGGGGCCCCAGTACTCAGTACAGTGCCTGGAACATAGTAGCTTCTTACATATTAATTGAACGAATACACCAATGATGACTGGGATGAGGTTGTTGAGGTCACAATAGTGTTCTTCCATAATGCCTTGAGTCTCAGAAACCACAGACTTCCTTCTCATCTACTAGCAATGGCATTTAATTTTTCTTGGCCAATGTTATACTTGAATTTGATTCAGACACTGAAAACTATGGACTATTATCAATATCTTGGATTTCCTTTCTGGGTACCTTTGTCTGGCCAAATTTTCCTAGTAAAGTGATGTTAAGCCACACTGTGCTATTCCCAACTTGCCTACAAAGATTTACTAAAATAAAATGCAGTCGTCTTATCCAAGTTACAAAAACAAGCAAAGTCATGAAATCATTTTTGCTATATGAATGTGGAATAGAATTATTAACCATAACTTTAACTTAGTTCAGTTCCTAAATTGTAGTGTTGTTTTGAACTTTCACAAATTGTCATTTTCTAAATATGGCGGTTTAATTACTTTGGAATTGTTTTTTAATTAACAATCATTTCAGTTCCTTATAAAACATGAGCTAACCTCATCAGTTTTTACCCACAATTATCATTGCTTAACAGTCCCCATTTTCAAAGGAAAATTTGTAACAGTGTAGTGGAAAACAAAGAAGAATCTTTTTATAGATAAGTGTAGTGTAAATAGTAGATAGTTGAGTAGCTTATATTATCCTATTATCACTCTCAATGGCTGAATGTTAATCAGTTTAACTGCCTTTGAGCTATGTATTTTTTAATGTGATTAGAACATAAAGTCTCACAGTAAATTTAAATGGCTTATTAAAGGTCTTTACATGGCAACAGTATCATATGTCAGAGATGAATAGTGTTTCTAATTTGCTAGCCACTTGGGTCAACTTTACTTTAAGCAGAAAGCACATTTATACAAGTAATCGGTACACAAATGGTCTCTTGGGAGGTCTGTTTGTGAGGGTGTAGCATTTTTGCAGTATGCTTTTGTGTCTCTTCTAAATAGGCATTTTATAGGCATTGGGCCAAAGCGCCTTAAATCCACGCTTCTTTAACACAAGCAGAACTGCTGTCCATGCTGCCTGAAGGCTCAGAAGACTCATGGGATATGCATTTTAAAGGTGAAGCTAAAGAGAATTGGGGAGGGGGGATTTGAATCACCTTTCTTTGAATAATGTCTTCAGGACCTTGAGATTTAAAGTATGGTTGGGAAAGGTGGCAGCGTTTACAACACCTGGAAACTTGTTAGACATGTAAAAACTTCACCCAGATTCAGTAACCCAGAATCTACATTAATATGAGATCCCATATGACAGTGAATTCTGCCCTAGGGCCCCAGAGCCTCTGCTCTCCTATGACCAAGTACAAGTCATGGTGTCCCTTTTTTTTTCCTTCTCATGTCTAAAATCCTCTCTAGAGAACAACATTCCCTCTTGCCATCCTGGGATCCAGCATCCAAGGACAATGACATTATCAAGAACCCACTTCTCATGCTCCTCACCTGACATCATCCAGGGGCTGCATGCTGCCCAATAACCTTGGGAAGTCAAGGCCTTGTAGCCATTACTGACTACAAGTAATGACCCAAGTCTTTGAATTTATTCTGCTTTCCTATGGCCAAACTCCCCATCCTTCTTTTATTCTGAGTTGCGATCCCAACCTTCTAAGCTGTCCACCAAAATCCCATCTCCCTTTGCCATTTTAATCTCTTCTATTCTTGGGGTATTTCTTTGACCTTATTTCTACTCATGGAATGCTGCTTTCCTCTTGTCTAGCTATGAGCTTCTCTGCTATTTGTTGGTTATAGATAGGACAAAAGGGAGTCATACCAGCTATTTAGGGGAGATCACAGAGTTTACTCAGTAGAGGGAACTGTATGCAGTTACTCATGACCCACTTGGCAGACCCCTTAACCACACTTCATTTGGCCCTGTCTTTGCATTGAGAGGCTCAGCCTGCAGGTGTCCAGGGGTAACTGGACATCCAAAGGAGACCCAGACTGGCCAGCCACTTGGCCCCTAGGAGCCATTTGTTCCCTCTTTTCCAAACTGTGCTGGGGTAAAGGGCTCTGCAAAAAAGTGAACTGGGCATTAAGAAGCGCATTGTTTACAAATTCAGACTCTGTAGTCCAGGGGTTAGCGCAGCCAATGGTCAAGGGAACAATCTGGGGTCAACTGGGTGAGGACACCTTCAGCCTCCTCTGGAGTGATGGGTACCCAGAACAGATTTTTTTAATCAGAGGAGACTGGCAGGGGGAGAAACAAGATTGCTTTCTGGCCATAGTGAGTTCGAGGACCACGTTTGCAACTTCCATTCTTCTTGAGACCAACGAACCAATTCTTCTCGGCATGCTTCTTGGAAGTGTAGGTGTTGTAATGGTTTTCCTCCAGTCTTTCCAGGAAAAGACATTCCTCATTTGGTGTTTGCTACATAGATAAAACCAAAAGAGAACAGAACTATTAGTGAGAGGTTTTGAATGGAGTTCCTCTGTTTACTAGCAGTGTGACCTTGGCAAGTTACTGAGGTTCTCTGTGCCTCAGTTTCTTCTTGAGGAAAATTGGGATAATAATAGAACATATCTCTGAGAGTAGGAATGAATACAGAATAGGACCAAGCACAGTAGGAGCCTTTATTATGCATCTGCTGTTATTGTAAGCTCCCCCTCCATATTCTGTTCTCAGGAATCAAGAGTTTCTCCTTGGAGGAATTCTGAATGATTATAAGCACCTTAATGATATGGTAAGACCTTTTGTTTCTGAAAAGGCCTGATACAGGGACATGAAAAACTTCCAAAATAGGTAAAACCAGACTGAGGTGCAGTGGGGAATTTTTCAAATTTGGATTAGAAGAATAAACAAAAATAAAATACTACTTTTCATCCTGGTGATTTTCACTAACAATATCAAGATTTTACCTTAGTATCATTCTGAATATACCTGCTCATATGCATTGTATCCAAGTCATAAAAATATTCTGGAACTTAAGTGAGTTTTTTAAGAAATGAAAATAGCTTTATTTTTTGTGACTTTAAAAAAGATGCTACTTATAAAATAATTGCACTTTAAAAAAAATCACAATAAGAAAAAAGAACACCCCAAAGCCCACCAACGCAGACATAGGCACTGTTAACAGTAAATGAACATCTTTCCCTCCATCTTTGTTTGCACATATAGAGAGATGTAGATAAAGCTATGTGGGTATTATCAAAATGGTATGCCATACCTGCTGTTTTTAAAAATGGGCAATAAACCTGGGAAAACATGTACTCTCTCTATCAAGAAAATGCAAACTGAAAATGATTTAACATATGTTGGTTACATTATCTGCAAAGAGAAATAAGATTTATAGGTCTTAATATTGGTGAGAATGTGGGCAATGAGCACTTTCATGCCTTGCCAGTGAGATGAATTGGTGAAAACTTTCTGGGCATAGTTTGGCAATATATTCAATATGTCAACATTTAAAATATGTATTACCTTGACCTAGCAATTTAATTTCTAGGAATGTAACTTAGGAGATACTGTGCAAGTGTAAAACTACTTTTAAGGGTAGTTTTTGAAGTACTGGGTATAATGGCAACAAATTGGAAGCCACCTAGATGTCCATGGAAAGGTGATTGACTAGGTAGGCTATAGTACATCTCTACAGGTGGATCTAATGCAGCTGCAAATGTGTTAAGATGGAAAGAACGCTAACATATATTAAATAGTGCCGGTATTTACCAGCCAGGGCCTCCCCTGGTGGTGCAGCGGTTGAGCGCTGGGCTGCGAAGCTGCCCGCAGCCTTCTGCAGTGCCAGTTAGATCCCTGGCTACTGGCGAGGGTCCCACATGGCGCGAGCTGCTCCCCTCAGCAGTGTATTTCGTTGATCTGCCTGTTCTGTTCCCTGCTCTGGCTCTGGTGAATTCTCTCACCCTCCCGTGCTTCTGACTATACCCAGTGCTTGTATAAATAAATAAATAAATCTTTAAAAAAAATTTAAATTTAAAAAAAAGATATTTACCAGCCACTATATTTTCTTTTTTTTAAAAAAATATTTATTTATTTATGCATACAAGAACTAGGGTACAGGCCAGATGTGTGGGGAGGGTGAGAGGATTCACCAGAGACAGAGTGGGGAGCAGACCAGGCAGACTGACTGAAATACACTGCTGAGGGGAGCAGCGGGAGAGACAGGAGAGGTCTGCAGCGCCAAGTGGCTGGGGAATCACACTCGTGCTGCAGTGTCTGTGGATAGCTTCACAGTGCTGTGTCTTAACCCCTTGCACCACCAGGGAGGTCCCCCAGCCACTACTTTTTCACTTGTAATTCATCTCTTTAGAAAATGGGAGGAACCCTGGTTATTTGAACTTTCTATTTGTCAAGATTTTAAAATACACTTTTATATTTGCATATAAGTTAGGTGTATTAAAAAAGTTATGCTGTATATCAACTTTGCATCCACTCCAAGTTGTGACTTCTCTGTCATCTCTTTATCCACAGTAGTTGGTGATTCTTTTTGGTGTTTACAGTTATATGGTTCCTTATTCTCTCTTTGTGGGCATGTTTCCTTCATAAAACAATAAACTCTACCAAGGGAAGAGATGGAGTCTTGTCAGCCTTGTTTTTACCTCCCAGACACACAGACTTGCAAATAACAGGTGATGAATTTAATTTGATTCTTGAGATCATATAAAGCACTCAGTAAAGTTATTTTTGATCAGCAAGGAACCATGTAATAGGAAATATCCTGCTGCTTATTCATTTGTAGTCTAGTGCAGTGACAACTGGGTGAGATACTTTGGATCATTTTAGAACAGAATGGGACACAGATGCAGTATTTAATTGTGTATCTGGATCCCTAGAGGGACTTAGTCCAGATAATGATGTATATTGTTGGGACTGGGGAAGCAGGGAGTTTTGAACCTGTGTGGGTTGCCCACTCCCCAGCAGGGAGAGCTATCCCTATGACACCCCTCAGTGGGCATTAGGCTTGTGCTCTGTGATGAAGCTAAAGATGGCCACGTGCCTCAGCTGATGTCTCTATTACTCTCTAGCAGTTGACACACAAAATGACTGAGTCACAGGCTGAGTCAGCAGGCCAAATCGGAGGTGCTCCATCCGTCCTGACACCAGGATTTGTCAGCACTTGTTATGCACTTGGTGCAGTGCCAAGGGCATGGGGATTAACAGTTGATTCATACCTGTTATTTTCATTTTTATATTTAGCATGCTTTCCCACTAACTACATAGGTGACATATATCCACTATAGAAAAATTGGAAGGTACAGGATGGCATTCACATAAAATTAGCCATTTGCCATTCCCCAGAGATCTTTATATTAGTGTCGTGGTAAATAGCCTTTCAAACTTATTTTTTTAAATATCTATCTATCTATCTATCTATCTATCTATCTATCTATCTATCTATCTATCTATCTATCTATCTCTTTTCTGCATATACACAAATTTGAATCAGAGGGTTTTAATGCCTGGAATTGGTTAAGACCATGAGACAGAACTGCGTTCACATTCTGGAACTTCTCTTTATCAATGGAGAAATAGAAAAATTATTCAGCATAGTACATTCAGATCATTCTGAGTATTTGAAATAAATTACAGTAATAGTCAGGATTAGGGTGCGAGAAGGGGTTATGTGGAACCTAAAGGAAATTGGATTTGGGGGTGTTCTCCCTCATTTTTTTTTAAAGATTTATTTATATATTTTATACAAGCACTGGGTACAGTCAGAAGCGCGGGAGGGTGAGAGAATTCACCAGAGCCAGAGCAGGGAACAGAACAGGCAGACCTACGAAGTACACTGCTGAGGAGAGCAGCGGGAGTGGCAGGAGAGGTCTGCTGCGCCATATGGGATCCTCGCCAGTGGCCGGGGATGGAACCGGCGCTGCAGAGGCTGCGGGCAGCTTTGCAGGCCAGCACTCAACAACTTCACCACCAGGGGAGGCCCCTCTCCCTCATTTTTATACAAGTAAAAGCAGGTTATAAAACATCAAAACTTATTTCAAGGGGGAAAGCCATATAACTATAATATATAACCTAAGAAATAATGAGAGTAAGGACTCATATGCTGATTATTTGTCTGTAATTACCATTGGTGGAGCCCCTCTGGTGCACTGGTGGATGGGCTGCCTGTGCTGTCTCTCTGAGCACTCTTCAGCCTGAATGCAGTAGTTCCTTTCAATTTCTATGCTCATTTTAGACAAGACTGAGTAAGCCAGTAATTTGCCAACGTGGTAGAGGCATAAGATTCAGTTATGAGATTGAATGACTGGTTAGTCAGTTGATTTTATCACCAATTGAAAGAATCATCTTTAACAAAAAAAATAAGACCTACTCCCTAAGTGTTGTCATTGCCTAACTCCAAACCCCTTCCGGTTGTTCTGGTTGACCCCTATCTAAAGGCTGCCTATTACTCTGAGGGTCTGTCTTTTGACCCCTAGTTAGTACCATGAAAAAACTGAACTTCATTCACATCCTGAACCTTGACTGAGACTCCATAGCTTGAAGAGAGGGCTTGTGCACTGCAACTTGGCAGTAGGACAAAAGTTAAAGGCGCCCCAGAGTAAAATCCTCCTACTTATTGCCTTTTAGTAGACATCTTCATAAAAGGGAAGAAAGGGATTTGGCCTGGACTGTGAATTACAGCCAAACCTTAATTATCAGTTATTAGGATAAACAGAAAGGATCACTGAAATCCAGAAATAATTTCAAAACCTGGACCTGACTTCAACTCTCTTTCCAGTCAAATCTTTTACTAGAGATACTAATGGGGCAAATCAGATTGCCTCTATTTCTGTTCTTTTCTCACAAAGATGATTATATACTGTGTCAAACTATATAAAGTATTGACTTGGAAAGCGAAGGAGTGGAAAGGGAGTGGTGGAGGATTTCGGTTACTGAATAAATTCTTGGACTGTGCTTCTTGAACAGGGATGTGGCTCATTCATGTTTGCATACCTTCAGCACTTAATAGTACCTAGACACAGGAATATTTGATAAGTGTTTGTTGACTAAATTACTAACTTTTTATCCTATAACAAGATGGCTCTTGCAATATTAAAGGTCCGTGACTGAAATGTTTTCCATGTGACATAAATTGCTGGATTCCGGGCTCTGTAACTTTTATGAAAAGTAGAGGATCTAGAGCATGTGGTAGATGCTCAAGAAACATTTTTAGAGTGAATGAAGAAAGTGGAAGTAGGCATTCTGAAAGGAGTAACTAACTGATGAGTTACCAAATTTCAATCAATGTCTCCTCTATGGGATAATATGTTTGAGTATTTTGAGAAAACACTGCAAGAGACTCTCTTATGCTTGTGCTTAAAATAAGGTAGGATAGAGAGTGGGAATCCTACTGGAAAAAATAACAAACAGAGACTAATTGTTGCTTTATAGTTTGCATCATTCAAAGTAACAAGATTTCTGGAAACCTCAAACCTTGGCCGCGTCTGGAAGCATGTCAGCCTCATACTTACTGAGCCGTATAAAAGCCCGTCGGTGTCCATGGCCAAGTACTGGCCAGTCTCCGTACTCTTTATATACACCTCCCCCACACTTTCCGCACTGAGCTGCAGCTGAACTGAAATAAAAATAACATGGGCAAAGTAAATAAACACTAAACTTTTGCCGATAGGGCCTGGCGGCCAGGACAGTTAGCCACGGAAAATTCTGCTCATTCATTTCACAGAGCCCTCAAGGATGAGCCTCAAATTAATCAAAACAAGAAATACAGTTTCTTTTTCTTTGCCCTCCAAAGAAAGCTGTCTGTTGAGAATTATGTTCTTGAGAGGAGAGATGATGGCGGGTTTGCCTACCCCCCTACCCCCTCCACCATGTTTGCTATAAATGACCCCGCATGCACTTTCCCAGAGCCTCACTCCTGTCTCTGTCACTTGGGCGAAAATAACCACAGGAAGAACCAGCATTCACTTCCCTAGGCTCCGTCATACCGGCAACCTTGGGGTGCCGTCAGGTGGGCAGCCTGAGCCTATTTGCCACAGTTACCAACCTGCTTTGGGGGTGGGGGAAATTGCCTTTAATGGCCTGGACCTTCTAGGCATGGGAGATTTTCAGCAACAGATGGTTATTTAAAAAAAAAAAAAATGATAGTGTTATTTTCCCAGACAGAAGAGGTTTCTAGGAAGTTAGGATTGGTTGGCACATGAGTCAACTCCTAAGCTCTATGACAACCAAACTGGGGTACAGCCAGAGGGGAAATCTCCAGCTTCTGACTAGGACGAAGAACCTAGAAATGAAGGGATGAGAGCTGTGGTTCTCACAGGGAGGGAGGGAGGGCAATTTTATTCTTCAGGGCACAGTTACCATGTCCGGACATGTTTATGTGTTTTGTCTCTACTGTAGTAGGGTGGTGCCCCTGGCTTCTAGTAGGTAGAGGCCACAGTGCTGCTAACTATCCTCCAAAGCACAGGGCACCGCTCACAACAAGGAATTTTCTACTCAAAAAGTCATGGTGCTGAGGTTGAGAAACATCAAGGTTGGACACAAGGACATGAGTTACCTGGGTCACCCTCTCCCCACTCATGCTGTTTGAGCTTCCCAGGTATCACTGCTGGGTAGGGGTCTGATACCCATTTCATATTATCCATTTGTTTATTCTCCTCTAAGTGACTCTAGGTGACTCATCAAAGGACATCAAGTGTTTTGATGGTTTTCCTTTGGGAGTCGAAATGAATTCTGGACTCTCCTGGACTATTTCTCTGATCACCTCACTGTCACAGACATTGTTAGGAGTAGAAATGAAACCTAGAGCAGGGACCAGTGAGTGCCTGGTGGTTCTCCCGGCGGCCTCTCTGAGTTGGCTTTGTCTGAGAGCCAGCGCAGTGGAGCTCGAAGGAGCCCCAGGCTTTGGTCTGCAGATCTCAACCCCTCATTACTCCTCCTTTGTTTTCATTTAATTTTTTAAAAATAGAAAATACATGCACATGTTTTAAACTTAGAAACAATATAAGAGGAGATCATGAAAAGTCCCTCTCCTACCATGCCCAGCCCCCTGCCACAGCTGATGGAGATATAGCCATAAACTCGTCAGACCCAATAGTTGCTCTTCTTCCCAGGTATATCCTCCTGGGAGGACAGAGACAAGCAAGTAGCCCCTTCCTAGATGTAAATGTGTGTATCCTCATAGAGATTTTATGCATCTATGAGCAAACGTGCCTTTTTTTTTTTTTTAACACAAATGGTTAGATACTATACACACAGTTCCGCGTCTTGTTTAGTTTTATGCTTAACAACTAACTAAAGATTGTCCCGCATCAGTTACAAAGGAGTTAACCTCTTTCTTTCTGCCAGTTAAACTATTGGCATAATTATGTGGCTATACCATAGTCATTTAACCTCTACCCTGTTAATATGCCTGTGGTTTCGCATTTCCCTTTGTTTTCTCTATTTTCTGTTTTATCCCAATAGTGATAACATAGTTGTATCACCCTTATTAAAGATATAATCCTCTCATCCTTGGAAATCTTTGCTACAGAGATTCAGGGTCTCCTCGAGCTTTCTGTGGTACTTGGAGTTTGTTTATTTCACAGGAAGGAAACTGGAAGCCCCTGATCTGCTTTCCCATGTCCTCCTAACCTCGATTAGCTACAAGAGTGGAGTCATAAGAGAACAGGTCCCCATTCTGACCTTGAGGCCTTTTCTTTTCTGGCCTCAAGTCATATCACTTGCTCACTAGTCACTCTGGTTCACCCCTTAGACTCCCTCAACAACCTACCTCAGCATCTTTGCATGTGCATGTCTCCCCTAAATCTGGTACCTTCTTCCTCTAGATATTCACAGAACTGGCCCTCATCTTCCTCTAGGCCTCATCCTAAATACTCCCTCCTCAGAAAAGCCTTTCCCATCAGAGGATCCCACAACACTCTCTGCAGCAGGTCCTTTCGCCCTCGCCCTACCACCAGTGCCACCCTAGCCTCTCTACATCCTCTTCTTTCTTGGCCTCTTGTTTGTTTTCTTCATGTCCCCTTTATACAAACTACAATTATTTTTTATAATTCAGGGATTGACTTATTTATGCCTCCTAGAAGAATGTGTGCTTGGGAGAAAGGGAAGCGATCTTGTCTATCCTTTGCCCTTCTATGTCCCTTGCTCCTCACATTGCTCTACCCTACAGGGTAGCCAACAAATTTTGTAAGGCTGTAACTGCCATAGATAATGATTCCTCTGATGGATCTGGCCAGAGTCCATTGAAATCCTTCTGAAGAGGATTCACATTCTAGATGCCGTTAAGAGCATTCATGATTCATGGGAGGAACCCAAAAGATCAACAATAATAACCTTGTATGAGTGAATGATGTTCAGTTAATACATGCAGAGATAATCCTGCTGGGCCATCATTAATGGGCTGTGTACTTTGCATTGTTTCTTCATGGGGTGAAGATGGGACCACATTGAGAAAAACCAAGGCTGTGCTCTGTCACTAATCAGCAGGCCCCCTGCTCACCTACTTAAGCTCTAGGTCAGGAAAATGGAGGGGTTTGGAATTCAGTCTAAAAAGTTTTTCCAGCTATAGCAGTATGTGAAGCAATTGAATATATTTACAGTCAATGTTGTAAATAATAGTGTTATTTGGCAATAAAAATAAAGTCCTGATATCTGTTTCGATGTGGATGGACTGCGTAAGCATGCTATCAAAATAAACCAGTCACATAGAACCACATATTTTATGATCGCATTGAAATGAAATGTTTAGAAAAGGAAAACCAAAAAAAGCAGGAAGTAGATTAATGGTAGCCAAGGACTAAGGAGGGATTTAGGGAAAAGGGGAGGGGAAATCATGCCAAAGAGGTATAGGTGTTTCTTTTTTAGGGTGAGGAGAATACTCTGAAATTGCTTTTGGAGATGGTTAAACACTGAATTGAACACTTTAGATGGGTGAATTGTATGATACACAAATTTAGCTCAATGTAGTTTTTTTTTTAAAAATGCTGTATTTTTCATTGGTTATCAGAGAACTTTCACAAACATTTTTCTATCAATTTCTAAGCATAATATTGTATGTTTAAGAGACCAAAGGAAGGGGATAACCGTTTACTGATCACCTCCTGTGTACCAGGCATCATGCTAACTTCTATCTTGGTATAAATCATGTAGAATTAAGGGGTGGGCTCTAGAACAAAACTTCATGAAATCAAATTCTGGCTTGACTATTAGCTATGTAATCACTGAACAAATTATCTGTTTCCTAATCTGTAATGGCAGTACCTACTTCATGGAATTGTGAGATTAATAATGTAACATACAGAAGGTGCCAGTATTATCACTATCATTTTCATAGCACTTAGGGGCCTTCACAGCTTCTCACACATTCCCTGGAGGAAGGTGGCACTGGCTCTGTCCCATAACTGAGAAGCCTGAAGCAGGATGAGAGCATGCTTTACCCAATGTTACACTAGCAGGTGGGCAAAAATGGCTAGAACCAGTTTTGAGTATTGCAAATATCTTGCTTTTTCCCTCTCTTTCATATGGAACCTTGGGCTCTAATTTTGGGAAAACTGGTCCAAATTAAGCATACTCCCCTTTTTAGATGTGTTTAATTAAGCACAGACATGTACAGTATGGCAGATGGTCATCCAGGATCTTACTTGTGGCCATGGAATTAAATGATAATTGTCTGAAGCTTTTTCCCATCTACCACCCTTATATAGATATACTGTGGAGATATTGCAGGTTTGGTTCCAGACCACTGCAATGAAATAAATACTGCAATAAGGTGAGACACAATTTTTTTTTTCCTACTGCATATGAGTTATGTTTACATTCTACTGTAGTTTATGAAATGTACTGGTAGTATTACATAAAAAAATACACAAACCTTAATTAAAAGATACTGCATTGCTAAAAAATAATACCCAACATCTACGCCTTCACTGAGTTATCTTTATGCTGGTGGAAGGTCTTGTCTTGAAGTCGATGGCAACTGATAGAGCAGGGTGGTAGTGGCTGAAAGCTGAGGTGACTGGTCTTAAGACAGCAGTGAACTTTGCGACATCAATTGACTCATCTTTTCACAAAGATTTCTCTGTAGCTTGTGATGCTGTTTTATAACATTTTATCCTCAGTAGAATTTCTCTCAAAATTGGATTCATTCCTCTCAAACCCTGCTGTTGCTTTATCAACTAAGTTTATATAGCATTGTAAATCCTTTGTTGTAATCCCAACAGTGTTTACAGTATCTTCACCAGGAGCAGATTCCATTTCAAGAAACCACTTTCTGGGGCCTCCCTGGTGGCGCAAAGGGTTAAGTGTCAGCACTGTGAAGCTATCAGCAGCCCCTGCAGCAGAGTTCCATCACCCCCCTCACCCCTACACCTCTGGCCTACATCCCAGCTCTTGTATGCATAAATAAATAAATCTTCTTTTTTTTTTTAAAAAAGAAAGAAACCACTTTCTTTGCAACTTCTTGTCCATTGAAGATTTGTCATGAGATTGCAGCAATTCATTTGCATCTTTAGGATCTGCTTCTCATTCCAGTTTTCTTAGTACTTCACCACATGTGTAGTTACTTCTTGCAGTAACGTCTGAACCCCTCAAAGTCATCCGTGAGGGTTGGAATCAACT